ACATTCAATTACTCGGAATTCTAATCCAAAAAATAGGTTCTAAAACTGTCAATCTTTCCGTTAATTAGCCCATAAATATACCGATGCTGTGCCGACGGTACAGCACAAGATCGTCCGGAACGCAAGTAGTTTCGCGACCAAAAAGAACAAAAAGAATCAAACGTTCCACGTGCAACAAAGTAACACAATACACGATCTACGGTGAAACCGCATTTACGTACTCAATAAAACAGCACCGTATTGGACACGAGACGGCTGTGTTCAGAGTGTCTCGATACGTAACGGCCTGATATATTTCATCCCGTTACCCCAAAAATGCGCGTCGCTTCACAGTCGATACTATTCCGCCCTCGTTCACTGCGGTTCGCATACTCGCGTTGCCCCGATGGGTGTGTACTATCGGAATGCGTTGAAACATTGCGGCCACGAGGCGGTCGGATTAAATCTTGATACATTGCCGCTATCCACGCGTAAAATTCGCCTGCGCGCGCAAACGCTCGTATAAGAACGAACCGAACGCACGTGCACACACACACACACACAGGCGTGCGCGTCTCTTTCTCGTACACACTGGGGAACGTGGACGTTTCGTGGTGGAAAAAAAATTATTGATTTATCGACGGGGCGAACGATTGCCGATACTGTACATTCTATCGTAGCGAATTACTAAGTGGCCACTTGTCCGCCACGGTCCCTTGTACATGAATTATTCTATTCCGTGACCGGGCGTGCGTCCACGCTGGCTAATTGTTGCTTTCTCCGTCGACGAGTAAAGTCACTCGTTAGCCGGTTACATCGATCGTGATCCGTACCAGCGTTTGTTCCCCTTTTCCCTAGTTCGCCCCCTACCATATCCACGGTGTCCCGCGTGAAATTCGCCAGGCGAAACACGGCTGTCGATGGTTATCCAACCCGTGGTGGGCCACGTCGACTTTCGTTTATGTAACCGCCGGTTTTCGTGATGTCACCGCGCATATTTCCACCTATGCTCTATGCGTCCGTGTGTATATCTGGACGAGAATGGCTGATTACGTCATATCGTTAACGTCGGATGGGTGTGTTCCCCGGGTATATTTTTTCTGTCGCCGGCGAGGAATGTCGGCGATGATGACGCGATGGTAACGCAGTTATTCGAAACTCTGTAATTAGACAAGGAATTTGATCGTGTTTTGTTATATGTGAATTGGTTTTATGTTTGTTGACAGCGAACGGTTACGACTGACGGTGGAAATATAAAATGAACGTGGTAAACAGAAACTTTGTCGAAGACTATGAAAATTGTATCTGTACAATTCATTATTGAGGCTTTTACAGACTCTTGATGAGATTTTCATAATTTCTTTAGTTTATTCTTAACCGTACAGATATCCTCAGTATGGAATACACTGCGTGGCATAACTATAAAACCACCCTGAAGTTTCCAAATATTATGTATTCTAGTTAAAATAAAACAGAACCACTTTTTTCTAGGGAATATAATCTATGCGTTCCTGGATAAACGTTATTTCTTAAAACGTTTTCAGATTATGGCACATTGGTTCGTTTTTATTTCAACGATAATACGTAAGAATTGAAAATTGTAGGGTGGTTGAATAATTATCCCACAGAGTGCATAAATGTGCGTTCGTATGACGTGTATAAACATTAACCGTCCAGTTGTCACGAATAACGCGTTTGCTGATGTTATTCTACAGCATCGGTTATAAGTACCCTGCGTATGTTTATGCAAATATTAGTATTCATGGATTAATTTACAGGTACTAGAATGGGAAGGAAATTTTTTTACTGTATTAAGACGAGTATTAGGTTCAAAATGGAATAAACATGGCATTAGAATATATTAAAATTGTTAATGTAGTGAGTCACAGCCAATCGGGTATGCTATGAATGCATAAACATCCTCAGTCTGGTCATGAGTCAGTCGTAAACAATGCAATAATTGCTCACGAAACTACTGTACATAAATATGTAATATACTCCAGACCGTGAAACAGCCTGATTACAGGTACAGCAGTAAATGTATTATTAATAAAATATATATTTCACAAATCCTTTCGTTCAAAACATCTCTTTATCAGACCACATTTACACCCTTGATCCCACGTTTTATCGGATCCCCAGTAGCTGTCCATCTATTTTGAAACACCCAGTACGGTCAAAGAATAATCTGATTATCCGTTCATAAATTCCGTTTAACCGTCGTATATTATCCGCCTGGAATTTCGCCGATCCATGGTCAAGCATGCGAGAGCGGCGCGCAGCGGTTGCACGTCAATGGAGAGGAATAACAGATTTCGTGAGGTATCAAATGTTGCGTGCCGGCGTAGCGATTGTGAATCATAGTAATTACACCTGGTTGCCGTGACTCCGGTTCTAGTCGGAAATCAGAGAACATCCCTGGAGGGAGGGGAATGGATATGACCAGCCGCAATTCACCCGGTCTAAAACTTCGAATCCCGAGACGTTCTAAAACCGAGAGGACACTTCTCACTCTGGGGCTTGTGGTTTCATTGAACCGTTCGTTAATCAGAGCCACGCGGTGTATTGATTACGTAAAGCCTTGAAGCCCGGTGTAAACCTGTACCCGTAACAAAGACTATAATTAGCGGAATTCCTTTCGTGGCCAGTCACGAGCTCCTCAAAGAAATGGATCGAGGTTGCTTCACAACCATAAGAAACGCACGATTCAATATCTCTCGGGTGTCTCGGTGCTAGAAACTGCGCTTCATTCGAACACGAAGCTGAAAGGGAAGCTAATATCCATATTAACCGAATTCACTCGGGGCGACCAAAGAAACGATATTGTAAATTCGTGAACTGAACACACGGCATTTGACGGTGTTGATGGTACAAAGGAGAGGATCAGTCTCCGAATGTCCCGACGGTTAATAGGCTATATAGACTGGCTGGAAATGAGAGGGGGATGGGGATAGTGAAGAAGCACGCGGGCGACCGAGGATCAAAAAAGGAGCAACCTGGCGAAACACAAGGACGCGAGGTATACCTTACCATGTCGTGTTCTCATAATCGATTAGCCGTCCACGGATGGAGAAGGAATCCTTTTCTGTAACCCAACGCGCGTCTTCGGGATCCTTCTCTTCCCGCGTGCGGCCGTTGAAGCATTTAGGACTGTGGTGGCCTTGCGCACGCCTACGTCCAAGAGACCTTTGTCTCGGGCCTGGTGAGTGCCTCTATGCTCGTCGCGGCATCTCCGACTAGCTGGCGGTATATATATATATATATATATATATATATATATATATATATCATATATGTATATGTATATACACACGCGTGTACAGTAATACCTTATCCGTTCGCGACGCGGAGCGTAGCGGAGAGCCCAGCCGCATGAAATTGAAAGTTAGCGTGGGTCGATAGCTACCGCCCAGACCGGTCCCAAGTTTACTTGAGCATTAACTTACCGATTCGACCGGGAAAATATCACCGAGCTGGGCCGTTATGGGCCCCGACACCCGATGATGGCCAGCCGGCCGCAACCGGCGAGGCCAGAAACGTCGGAATATGTGTTCCTCGTGATCGCGTGTAGGCGACCCGAGATTGTCTCCGCGGACTCTATAACGCCGCGCTCGTAATTAATTGAATAATTTATGGCGGCGTGGGGTAGGACGAAGGACGAGCAGCCCGGGCCCATGGAATGCCACGCTTTTAAGGGCACGGGGCAATTAACCGTGTACAATTAAAGCTGGCAGACTAATTAGCCGTGTATGTTAATATTAATTACCACGCGGAACAATTTTTCTTTGTATCTTCCCTGTGATCCGTAAGATTGATATTTACTTTGTCAATACGATCGGGCGTCCTTTGAAGATTGAATACGTGCGGGGAGCGAAGGAAACGATCACAGTGCCGCGTATGGTTCCTAATATGGCAAACTGGACTTCTGCCAAAACTGTAATATTTGTGGCTGCAATCCATGATGTAATGGCATCTTGGAATAAATTTATGTTTTTCTTTGTATCTTGCTATGTCTATGTTTTGTGTACAATTTTTACATAAAAGTGAATGGCGCTACCTTTGGACTCCAGATGACCTTTAGTCCGAATTGTAAATTAACGTATTTTTCAAGTTTTGTACACGTGGCTACCGAAAATTGTTATTTTTGTATTGCTCAGAAGTAGGTATGAACTTTCAATGTCATCGTATCATCTTCAATTTATAACTTCACACGTTAGAAAAGTATCTGACCTAATTTTTCCAGTAAACTACATACATGATGTATAAAAGTGTACGATACTGGGGTCCTTCATCTATATCTTGCTGCATGAATATCGATCTGACAATTAAATTGTACATTGATGTCTCTAGATACAAGTAATCGATTCTCTCATGCATGTTTTGGGTAGAATAGGTACCGGTTACATATTGAGTTGTAACGCGTGAAATGCTCCTTTCTGTAAATTGAAATGTCGCGAGTTGGAACATTCCACCTGGGAGTACTTCGTTAACTCCGCAAATATTGGTTTCAACAGAAATTGGTTTCATCCCTGGGTTGCGAACTCGCTTTCGGCGTTCCAAATAGAAAGAAATCGATTCGAGCGACAAACGCTGTAAATGCTATTCAAACGCGTTCGCTGTTTGTCTAATTAAAATTAGTCACAGTAATATCGTGGTATTATCGCTGAAGAGTTACAGCAATTATATTTAATCGTCAATATACGTACAGCGTTGAAACCGATTATTTACACATATGTATACGTATATACAGTAACAAATTGCAATGCAATGATTTCTATAGGAGTGTTACACATTTTTACTTACTTTTAATGATTTCACTTGTCACTCTGTTTCGGGCTCGAAATTTAATATTGACTGTAATTTCTATCGCGAATTAAAATGTCGCATTTACATTTCTGTGATGGGCAATAATTATTTATGAGCATCGTTATTTCAATAATGAGAAAGTTAATTAACCAAAATGTGGTCACCGATGAGATCCAAAGAATTCAATCTCGTTTTTTTTTTCTATTCCGGCACAGGTCACCGGTCAATTATTGGACACCGAGTTCCAGCCAACGGTCACGGCAACATGCAAAGCCGGCCACATGACGATACGGGTGAATCTGAATCAGAGTTTCGTCGGCGCCGTTCACGCCAGGGATTTTCGAACGCCGCAATGCATGGCGCCCGGAAACGGCACGAATCATGCGACCCTCGCTATTAATCTTTTAGCTCCCAAAGGATCGCCCGATTACTGCGGTGTCCTGGTAAATAATGTAAGTGCCTCAGCCACGTTTCTGATTAAAATTCATGTACGATCACTTGCGAAACAGCAATTAAAGTTTAATTTCACTCACACGGAGATTTATTCTCCACTTTTGAACTTGGAGCATCTCAATGTCTCATGAACTCTATAACTTGTAACGAAAGGTCCTCCGGAAAGTTGGTATCGTTTTGGAACGTAAGATTACGGTTCACAATTTTTATTGTCTATCTTATTTTTATTAATAAACACAATATCCACTTTTTGTTACGATTTCATATATTTTAAAAAATATTTAGCGTATAAACGATATTTCCTTTCTTCGGTAAAAATGGTAGGTAGCAGAGACATTGCTGCCTGAAATGGTACGAATTTTTCGGACGACGTAATACGAGTAGCTTTCACGATTTGAAGCCGTTACCGAATCTTCAAGAATAAAGAATGGAATTCAGTATCTGATTTTCAAATTGTTTAGATACAAATTATATTCACCTTAAAATATCATAAAAGTCTCTTCGGTCTCGGAAGCACCGAGTTCCGTTCTGAACACATCAAGGACAAATTTCCCCCGTAATCTCCTTGTAATTCTTGCAGGACAACGAGGAGCGTTCCATCCCCATCGCGGTGCGGATACATAAGACCCTGGAGCTGGCGGACGATAAATTTTACGTTATTACGTGCGGAAAGGCCGGATTCAAAAATGCGAAGTACGCAGTAACGTTTATTAATATTGGCTCGTATCTCGTCGAATCACGACACCGTTGGCCGGTGGCTACCGACGCCTCTGAGAATATAATTTTCGCACGCGTGTTACGATCGTGTGTTCTCTCTATTGCAGGAATGAAACTTCGTTAGTGTCGTTGCGCCTTTTGGACGGTGGCTACAAAGTGCAGGAGGCTATTTATGGTCACAACTATACTTTGCGTGCGGAGATCTCGCGACCAGATGGTTCGTATCCGTGTCTCTCACTTCCATTTTCACCCCTTTACATTTAATTGGAATTAACGAGGTCCGCGTGAACACACGTATACGCTACCCCGATGCTCCTCTACGCATACCGTTGATGTGCACTCTGATCGATGGTTTTTTCTTTCTTTTCTTTCTTCGCAGGAATGTACGGAATTAAGGTGAAAACGTGCTTCGCCTTCAATAAGCGGAACAACAGCGTGCAGCTGATCGACGACAAAGGGTACGTTCGACCGTTCATCTCATTTGACTCGTGAATTCTTTGCCATAATCTGTCGAAGTATAAGTGTATAATTCGCTTTAGTTCGGTCGGTTGATTAGAATTTTCCAAGTTTATTAAATAGTAGTCTAGAGTGTACAGGATGTCTCGCCCTTTAATTTAATATTCGTACTGAATTTTCCATTGAAGATTGAATCCTAAATGTTTGGAGGCTGTGGACCTTGTATCTCAAGTCGAAGGAGACAGTATTTATAGACATCAATGATGCAAATTTTATACAATTTTATATAATAGTTTAGATTTGCATGTATTAATTCGAGAATCAATCTAAATGTCATTACTGTTGCAATATGTTAAGTTGATCCTGTTTGATTTAAGAGGACCAGATAGATCGACGTTATTCTGTAACTGATCAGTTATTCGAAGGCCTACAGGTTCCTTCACGTTAATTAAAGAATATCTAGAATCATTTTAATTAAATTATTCTTTTCGTATGAAGTTAAACGTACTTATTTGTCGGTGAATATTGTGTTAAATTAACTTCCTCTATCAGCAATACGAGGAGTAAATGTCGGATTAATCCTGACTTATACCAAATATTTTTAAAATTCTATATATTATTTTGTAATATTTCTGATACACTATATTTCTAGAATATAATTATTTGTCCTTTGTTATATTCATAAACATTCAGCAAATCCCTACTCTGTCATTTCCTACGATGGGTCAAAGGTGACCTGGTGTCGACTGTGCTACAGTTTCAGAATAAAATTAAATATTTATATATAATTCGAAATAGAAAATAATATTAATTGAAAAACTGGAATATTAACCTAAACAAACTAAAAATGTGAAATTCAATATTACTAAACACGTCCCCGAATCAAGTTTATTATTCACAAATACAACATAACACTTTTACAAATTTCCACCATGATACCTGATTCTCCTTCGGCATCGAACAGAGACACCCTGTACAACTCCGATGACATGATTAATTCACCGCGCCGCGAAACGCGAAAAGATCGCGGTTCCGTAACCCAGTTACGTAAACTTAACGCGTTCCCGTACACAAAAGGTGTCCCGTGAAGGCTCGGGTCATGACGAAATTCATATACGATCGGAACACCGGCCTGGCGGATGCGACATTGTTCTCGATGTTCCGGTTTCCTGACAGCCCGCAAGTGCACTTTCAATGCGACATCGCCGTTTGCAGAGGTAAACTGATCCCGCTGACTGATTCCCCCTGATTACGGTGCTGCCCGCCGAATCTGGGTCACAGCGTGCCGTTCAACTCTAGACCCGGGGGGGAAGATGGGAGGAGGGGGAGGGAGGGATTAACATATTCCCATTCGGAAGCGGTAGTATATCCCACTGATATCAGATGCGTTACGGCGTTCCTGCCGTGGTTCGTCGCGTCATTACGCGATCACCGAGTATCATTTTATTTTACTACATGGAATAGGGGAGATTCTAACGCTTGCACCCAGGTCGAGTGTCGAACGGTAAATTAACCGGCACCGGTGAGATAACAGGTGAAAACGCAAAACGTTAATCTTCTATCCTCCAGGAAGCTGCGGTATCCCTATTTGCGAAGGCGATAACGAGGAAGAAATAAAGGGAGCGTCTTTAATTAATGGGCAAAGCGTGAGCGGCGAGGAAGGAGTGCTTCTTGCCGGCACGAGTGTGTTCGTTCTTGACCCTGGTCAAACGCCATGTAAATATTCCAACGGAGCCGATTTTCATAGTACACACGTATACACATCCAAACATGTATACATGTAAACACATACACACACACAGAGGACAGACACATCGTTTCCTTACTTATACATTCCGTAACGATACCACCGGTGTACTAAAATATACCCTCCGAACTTTTCCAGGGGGCCGATTAATTAATTAGCCTCTGCTCCCGATGAACCTTTTGTTCTCGGAAATAAACTCCTAATGGGTTCCAATGTCGATATATCTTGTTTAATAGCTGTACAAACTCTGTACGAGGACGGCACAGTCCACCCATTATGGCTGCTATGGCTGGCCGTAGCTCTTGGCATTCTGTTCCTCATCATGCTCATTATCAACATATTCCTCTGCTCCGCGATGACCTGCAGTTGCACCAGGACCGACATCATCGAGAAAGAACCATCGATCATCGAAGATTACGATCCCTATCGTAGCTGGCACGGTTCCCAATATGGCTCGAGGTTTGATTCCGCTGTTTTTCCTCTTATTTTTTTTCCCTTTATAGATTCATTTGTACCCATGGTAACAGGTGACGGGCACATTAAATTTTCTTTAAATATTACTCATTGTACACTCGGCGAGAATATTTTTGAATACTATGGTTCGAAGGTGCGATCAATTTTTCATTCGAAGCCGATAAAATTATTCGTCAATGGTGATTATGAAAGTGCTGTATATCGAAAGACCAAACAAAATTGTGTTTCTCTCTTATTTTCCATTACATCCATTTATATTTCAATATTATGAAAGAATTTTTTAAACGAGCAATGCATACTTTCATTATCACCGACTCACCTGTCAATCCACGAAGAATTTCTCGTTTTATTCATATGCTTCTATTCAGATCGTATTCGTATTAGGTATGATACTCGAAATATATTTTATTGATTTTTCAATGAATGTTCATGAATGTTTGTCATGGAAAATATTATCTGGTAACTAAATGAAATATAGCGAGTAATTACCAATAATGGAATCTTCATTACGACTAATTTACTGTTTCTTATAAGGTACTCCTTAAATGGGAAGCAAGGATACGCTTCTGGAGGATCGACGATGAACTCGACGAGGTCGATATCGACGAACAGCGATCACTACGCCATAGTTCACTCCAGACCAGGAAGCAGATACTCTGGACCCGGTCAGAAGCATCATCACCATCACAGAGGGCCGCCGTCGAACATTGGTTCCCATTATTCCGGCAAATAATATCCTTCGTAGCTACTTAACCGGAAAACACGGAGCGAACAATTATTTTCGATTGAACGTATCAAGCAATAATTCTTCGTTTTTAACAACCGAAATCGCATGTAACGGGTATTCAGATTCTATGTGAATCGTCACTCACGCCGTTCGAACGCAAACTATCCATCAATAACGAGATAAAGAACGTTAAGTGGACCGTTGACTCGAGAAGCTGCGACATAATACAATCGTATTCTTCGAGGAAAGTTTGAATGACATTGTTTCGAGACGCGTTAAGGATTGATCCTCGTAACTTTATGTGTCCTTAATAGTTACTACTAATATATTACGTACACAGAAAGGTTAAACAATTCCTGCCTTACAGAGTATTTTTGTACTAATGGTCAAGTATCAATTACAGTTATGGTTTTACTTCTTGTGAAACAAGACTCCATGTGTCGCGAGTTTCAGATGAACGAACAATCGAATTCGATGAAAATTATTGTCATGATATCGATATATTTCGTATATCGACGTATTATGAGTCGTAATTTGTGGCCGTCTGTATTCGTGTATTTTCGCTCGTGAGAAGGTACTTCTCTGCTGGATCGTATATGTATCATATGTTAGTCATAAATATAGGTATACTTTAGTATTTTACAATTCTGAGCAATGTCGTGCTTAATTCAGCGGAATAAGACGAACGCTTTTGTACATAAATTCATTGATCGGTATTTCATCCTTTGTGACTAGCGACACGTTGAAACGTACGTTCTCGCGCTTCAATCATCAAAATTAGCATAGTTTTGTACCATCCAGTTAGGTGTTAACGTCGACACAATAAAAAAAGGCATATTGTTATTTTGTATAAAATCTTGCGACGTTTAGTGACAGGAACAGGGAAATAGATAATTGACTTCGTTCCGTTCTTGACGCGGTGTATCTTTAACTCTCTGATAGCTCAATGGAACATTCCACGTTCAACGAGTCTCAATTACATGCAACAAGTACATTAAAAGTTTAAGAAAAACTTTCGAAATTGTTTATTCTGTCCTGTACCCGACAGTTTCATGAAAGTATACTAATTACCAGTAATTTCGTATTGATTAGTGTACTTTCGTTATTTCTACATTTTGTTCTTCTAAGAAAATATCAAGCAATTAGTTATTAAATTCCGGAATAACTGAAATTTTGACAGCGTTTAACGTATTAAAAGTGTGTATTAAACAAAGTAATATGTGATACTAAATACACTTCGTTTTTGTTCATCATTTGTTTCATTAGAATAATGTGTATGTCGCGTGACTTCAGGAAAAAAACTCGTTTCGAAATAATTATAAAAGTGTAATGCTGTACAATTAAATCCCTCTGCATTCGTGGTTTGAAATTACGAGTAAAGTCACACGACCCTGGCCGTATATGCAACATTCATGAATACGTCTTGTCACGTAAGGAGACAAGCATGTCGTACTGTCTATCATACTAAATACATTGCCAAGGCCGAATTATGAATGGAAGCTACAATATAACTGCGTGCAATTAACACTTTGTATAGTGTATCAAGGTGTCCTTGCCCAAATTTAGTCGTGTTTACCGAATATAATTAAACCTTTGTGGAAGAATACTACCATGTTATCGTTATTAGTTTTTTATTCTTCAATGTTGAACATTGCTACTGCTACGACAGACAATAATAATTTCATCTCTTCGTTACTAATATTTGTTCGAATACACAATCCCATTTCAGATGGGAAATCTTCTATTCGTGAGAAATTATTACTATGCCGTCACTTTGTAAATTCATAATGGATTAAATAGAGATTAATATTTTAAAATGACGGTACATGTATTTGAATAAAATTAAGTTACTTTCAACGATTCGAAGAGAAATCTAAAGATTTGTATTTAGATCGTCTGTCATCCTTAGTCGTATTCGATTTCACGAGAAATAGGAAATTGTTACTTATAAACCTTGAATGCTGATGGACAATTTCAAAATATAGGTTAGGGTGTTTCAAGATGAAATACATGATTCATCCTTTCACTTGTATATCGTTAATCACTTGGAGTAGATCCTACATCCGGATTAAATGTTTTGTATTGCTTTGGCTTAATTGAGCGCATCCAAACACCGTTAGGTTTGCAAGTTCATTTACCAGAGGATTCGTTAACATAAACGGTAACAGTATTCTAGTTTCTAAAATGGTCTTCGTCCTCGGTTTTTAGGAAAGTTGGGTCAATGTCTCTTTACATTGAACGATCAAGAAAACCAATTACAGCAGATTACGCGCTGTTAAAGTTGGTCTTCATAAAATAGCTAATCACAAACTTAATTTCTTAATAAACATTTAATAATTTAATTTACGTCGTTTCAATCTGAAATTAACTTTAAGGAAAAGCAACTTACTAAAAGTGTCTTATAATGCTACAATAGACAGAGTGTAAAAATATATTCCCGATCTCATAATAAAATTATAGTCGAGTTTTTAAAAACAAATTTATTATTAAATGTACATCTTTATCTGATAACGGAGTATACGCGAATTACTCGCTTAAATACTACCTGTACAAAAAACACGAAAACTCATCTTTATGTGCACCATAACTGTCGGAACGCTTGTGCGTTTCATCGCATAAATAAGGATAAAGGATTTCGACAATCTAACTCCAGAAACAAACACCTTGATCGTGTTTAAACAAAATGTTTTATGTTCACTTAACAATGAAGTGTGACACAATCCAGTGATAAATGGTTCAACGTTAAATTCCTAATTAACCTTGACAATAGATCATTCTCACGATTAACTTTTATAATATACACATTAAAAAGTACGCCTGTACATCGTTACCAAAAGTGAGCAAATAAATTAAAGAGAAAAAGAAAATTTACAATAATGTTACTTGTAATGAATGAATGTTAATACACCGTTGAAGTACTGACGATTAATCTCTGACTTTTTCCCATTACAACAAAAACAATGCCATTTTCGTGTAAATGAACAGTTTCGTCACACGTCTGACCAATGACAGACACATTCCACTTCGACCCGATAAGTGTTCTCATTCAAGACACATCTAGACTGTTCCTTGAAGCAAATTCACAATCTGAACCACGAAAATAATCATCGAAACCTCTGTCATTGGTAATTCCAAAGAGGACGCTCTTGGTTGCCAATGGAAATTTCCGGGGAAATAAATTACAGGCGGATTCGGAGGTGAACCTCGCGACTCCAGAAACACACACTCTCGTCCGTGACACAAGCTCGCTAGAACGTCGAACAATGACCCACCTGTTACGGTCGAAATCATTGCTCGTTAGCCCGGTTTCCGGTGGCTGCAGACAACCACCGCGATTAAGTATTTCGTGTTTTAAATCGGTATTCGTCGAGCGTGCTCGACGAAACACGTGCAAGAGGTGGTTTATCTACAAAACGCGGTATTCGTGACGAGGCGCACGTGTTCTCACCTGGCCACCGTCACGAGCGCCGCACGGTCTAAAAGCGTTAATTGTATGTCTGCGAGTAAACCGTAAGATGTGTATTCTCCATCCGCGATAAAGAGACTGGAGGCACCATGAATAAGAAACGTACAGCTACATACGCGCGCGACGATGAACCGTGCCACGCACGTGTCGCGACTCAATTTCGTTCTAGGAAACGATGCAACGATACCTCGATACGGGAAAATCGTGGTTCCGCGTGTACACGTAAGGGTAGAACGATCGCTCGAGCGTCGATCAAACGCTTACGTTGATCACACGATCGAAAATGATAATTACTTCCCGATGATAAACCGAGCGTCGTTCTCCAACGATTGATCGCGGTTACGGCGCGAAAGAGAGACTGGGAAATTTCGCGGTGAGCAAATAAATAGTTTATAAAATGAATTATCGCGAATCGATCTGACGAAACGATCCCGACGGCTCGGACCCGTTTCGTGAGGGCGAGTGCAAGTAATATTTTTTTTCTTCTTTCTTTTCGTTCGTCTCGCGAACCGCGCGTCGGGAGAACCTCTTTGACGCCCTTACCCCCGTCTTCCTTCGACACTAATATCTACGTGTATATATATATGCATATTTTTTCTGCTTTTTCTCCCTTTCCTGCCTTCCGACGTATTAGGTAACCCGGCTAACTTTACTCTAATTGATCTACCTCTTGTAAGAGAAATGGGACCAAGAAAAAAAGAAACGAACAATCAAAACACACCGGCTGACGAAGGACAAGAACGACAAGCCGAGTGTGCTCTCTCCGTGTCACGAGGCACGAATTTCCTTTTCTAACTAAGAGGCCACTTTAGGAACCTGGTTGCGATCCAACGAAGCGTTTCGCGCTCGTGCATATCTCCCCTCGCTCACTGGGGGAGCGAGAGTGGGAGCAACCGAGCGCGATCATCTGGATCGAACGGATCGAGTTTCCTTAAACAGCGTTCCCCTAATGATCGCCGATCGACCGCGCTATCGCGGTGGAAAAGGGGTCTATCCGGCGTTATTGTGTACCCGGTGCGGACACTTTTTCCCCTTCTACATTAAACCCCCGCAAGAAAAAAAAAAAAAAAAGAAAACGAAAACAACAATACTACCACGCGTTAAATTGGTCTCGATTAAATGTAAACGGACTATTTTCTACATTATTTACAGATCTACACGACACACTGGCCTGGACGCTTTACGGCTGTTCGGTCGTCGACGTTGTTCCTTGGGACGTCGATTGTCTTTTCTCGGGCCAGGTCCCAGACAAGACCAACAGTTTGGGGTTGGTGATTACGGATTGACGTGCAAGGAGTAAAACGTCCAAAAACCAGAATAAATATCGAGCGTTACCAACGTAGAGTCGTTATCGTCGTGGGAACGATCGCTATCGCGGCACCATAAGTGAATATCGGCTGACCGATTGAATTCTTTCTACCCCACCTCCCTTGCTAGTTCTTCTATCCGTTGTTCACCACACATTTTTCGGGGACCACAATCTCTGTCTCTCCCTCCCTTTCTCTTTGTCTTTCTCCCTCCCTCCCTCTCTCTCTCTCTCTCTCTCTCTCTCTCTCTCTCTCTCTCGCTCGCTCGGACTCTTTCACTCGCGTGAAACACTCTTCGACGAACGACCCGACGAGAGCAAGATATTTACGATGAATGGATTCGCGCTACAGCATACTGACTAATTTACAGGAAATACGCTAAGAATATCGTGTATGCTTTGGACCGCCTTCTCGATTTCCGAGCTCGTTCCTGGATCGATCAGTGAAACGAGTCCAGCAGCGACGGCGGTGTTATCGGTGGTAAATGATCGCCGCATCTCGGGAAGTTCGGTGGCACCGGCGGCAGATCCGCGTGCGTTCCCACGTGAAGGATCAGATTCATGCCGATCAGTATGTGGAAGAGGAAATGACAGTGGAACAGCCAGTATCCTGAAAAGTGGAATATTGTTTTCAAAGACTCTGTGCACTCCGTTAGATTTTAATTTGGAACTTTGATATAGTAAGATCGGGCAAAAGTGAATACAGTAAATCATCTGTGAGTGTTTGAAGGCTCCTCGACACTGATAAGGAAAGGTCCTCAGGTGTAACGCTGACTTTTTAATGAGGTTTAGTAAAGTGATAGAGTCTGGAATCCTGAAACCATTGATGCATGATTCAGCCGCTTATCGCTTTTAGTTTAGAAAGTATGTAATGTTTAGTACCGAGTAGCATTCAAACACTCACTGATGATTTATTATACTTGTTAACCATTTAACGTCCAGTTTAAAAGTCGTATAAAAGTTATTTTAAAAGTCCGACAAATTCGGTCGTCGGTTAATATGTATCATTTACTAACGAGCATCCGTAGTTTCACTCCATGTCTTCAGTTGAGAAATTCAAGTACTCACCAAAAATAAACAAAAATAAATAAAAAAATAGGTCTGTTTGATATCGACATTTTTGATTTTCAAAATAACAACATATACAGGGTGAAATCAAAATAGGGTTCACAACTTCTGGGGTAGATAGTACTTGACAAATGATGAGAAAAAGTCTCAATATACAATGAGTCGAAAAATTAATATTTACAATGTTGTAAACAATTTTTTGTTTCGGTTAAAGTGACTGGTTTTCTTACTTTGGCAGCTACCTTACCGTAAGAAAACAATGGATTACCCTTTTTGTTTATTCATTTCCTGGTTTCCATTAGGTTTTTTACAATTTTTATTAGTTCCTTTAAAATTTTCTTCATTGTTTCCATACGATTCGATAGCTCCAGAAGCGATAAAGTTACTCGCTTCAACCGAAACAGATAATTGTGTATAACTTTGGAAATATCAATTGTTTGGCCTATATTTATTAGGAATTTTTTCATCATTTGGCGAATGCTGTTTATCCCAGAAGTTACGAAATTTTTTTCTGTTTCACGCTCTATCAGACTCATTATTTTGAAATAGCGAGTTAAGGTCTGGGCATTGAAGTGTTAAACCAAGAAAGTACGGTAGTCCCTGCTTCATTCACGCAAAATCAGGTCCACGGTGTCAGTGAAGTAGAGAGGAAAATTCTATTAGGTGTTTCACTATGTACAGCTCAGGTAATGTGGACGAAATTGAGGTAGTTTTAGGAATTGGTCGGCATAAGTCCATTTCAATTAAGTGAGGAAATGTGCGCTAATTAAGCGGGGACTTACATTGTGGAATGTTTTACACTTCTGAAAACGATCGTTTATAGTATTACTACTTTCTTAATTGCCTTATTCTATTTAGGGAAACTACTAATGATAACGATTCCTAAAATTCCTATTTACTTACCGGGGTTGTCCGCGCGGAATCGGAAAATTACGTAACCGTTGTTTGGAACGGCGATAGTGTCCTTGGCAGGTGGCAAATTGAACTGTCGATTGAGGAGACCTCGCTTGTCGAGATCTAACGCGTGCTTCAGATTAATCTTCTTCACGTTCCTGTCGGGCGAACGGCCCATACCGATCACGTTGAACGCGTACCCGTGCAAATGGAAGGGATGCGACAGATTCGGTTGTTGGACTGCGAAGAGTGATGGAGAATTATGAAACCTCTCAATAACTGGCCTTCAAATTAATTAAATAAATTTTGATATTAACTATCTCTGATTTTCATTGCTTTTCATGAAGCTTGAAACATATTACATCCTGTACCAAAAATATAATGTTATACAAGAAATGACACCTGTCGTCATAATAAAGAAGAAAATTCGTAAAAGAAAGGATTTCTACCCGAAAGAAGGTTCTACCTAACACAGAAACATGGGATCTTGCTTTCCAAGGCAAAGAAACCTTTCAGCTTAAAGCATTACTCTTCCTAAAGGTCATGCCTATGTGCATTCAAGAGGTAATCTCCGGACACCTGAAGGACAATCTTCCTTTTATCACAAAAGAAGAAGAACTCCTATTCTTCATACAACAATAAGCTTTCTACTAAACGAGAAATTTTTCGTTCATTCTTCAAAAAGGAATTCTATTTCCGTAAAGAAAAGTGTAGCTCTTTAAGGAAAAGATTATTTTCCCCTGTATCAAGTTTTTTGTTTCTACATGCATGGTTGAATGTTCCAAATAAAGAGTAGTCCTTTTCCGAATGGAAAAAAAGAGATAGTACAGTACAGTGGATGTGATACGCACCTTCGTCGACGAGGACCACCTCGACGACTGCGTTGTTCGGGATGTCGATCTTATGGGTGCACATGCAGTTCGCGCCGCAATCGGATGGCCTGTTGTCCCCGTTACAGAACTGTTCAGGCACGACGTCGTCGATTTGCGAAAGCGGAGGCGCCGGCGGAAACGTGAACGAGATTTCGTCGACGAGAGAAATTACGTGATCTCCGGTCGGCGCGACTGTAAAGCATTATAGACGCTGGATGACAAACGCTTTCATAGAAACGCGCCGCGACGAAATCGCCACGGCGGAATCCGATTTAACAGACTAAATGGTAATGAGCATCGGCGCGCTCTAACGCGGGTTGCGTCAGGCCAACGGGAGCAAAAAGAAGCCAATGCTTCGGATCCCAGCCCGTGAGTCGGTCGGTTTTCTAGCTTGGCGGAAAGCGAGCAGAGATATTTTGAAATCGCCGGTTCTTACCCAAGAATCGATTATACGTCTGCGGCTGAAAGACTTCTTCTGGCCTGTAGAAGAGGAAACGGAATGGCAAGAATATTTTCACATCTGGACGCTGCTGGAGAATTCCTTGGTCGATCTGGCGGGCATTCTTCAGCTGGTTCACACAGATCGCGTCCTCACGCGGACGACTGCATATGGCATCGAGAGGGTTCAGCACCTGAACGAAATTATTTATATTTAGAGATTTGTGAGTGATTATTATCTGGTTTTACTTCGATATTATTATTCGCTTCACTAATAGTTTATACCGGATTTTATAGAGTAGAAATAACATTGCAATTTCCTCAGTATTTACAGTGACTTACAGGTTTTGCCACGAAACGTTGTCACTTCTATTTTACCAAAGTATTTACCAAAATGCGAATTGTATTTCAAAATCACGAAAAATTGATTACAAAAGGATGCTCAAAGTTATGGTAAGGACCATATATAAATAAAAATGGCAGAAAAGTTTTGCCACGTACTTATTATTTAAGAAGTCTGTGAACGATTGAGTGAATCACTGTATGTATAAAGAGTACCATAAGTAGATACAGTCACTGATGACCAGACATCAAAATTAAAAGCAACCGTGGGGCGTGAGTTCTCGATAAATATTGAAAAATATATTTTCTCCAAAATTGAGGCCTAAGAAAAATATATTCAGTATGTTTTATTTAATGATGCTTCAAATAACCCCACCTTTTCTGTCGTACTACGAATTACATTTTATTCTCTATATTAACCCTTTGAATGCGGTAGATTCCAAAATAACCGCGATTCACTGTGTGAAACTTTTCACCAATGATAAAGATTACAAGAGAATTTCGTACAATGTAATTTTTTCTTCCGGGAAGGGGGGAGGGCAAAATCCAATTTTTTTCTTCTAGAGTAGTGAAAAAGCCAGTTTTTTCCGTCCAGGGGGAGCAACGCCCACCCCTGCCCCCTGGTTACACCAACGTTCGCCATACTCCAGAGCAAAAAAAGAAGACATGTAGAAATGGGTCCTATCGAAAAGTGGAACAACAATTATACTTACAACGCCCTGTGGAAGACCGAAATCGTAGGTCGGTGCCGTGGAGGTCGGCTGGTACGGTCCACGCGCGTAACGCAATATAGCGAGCTGTTGGGCCCGGGGAATACCGCACTCGCCGAGCGCGCGTACTTGAATCCAGTACGCGCCGACCGGCTGATCCGCATTTACAACGAAGTCGTATCGTTCACCTGTAAATCACCGAGGAGAAAGAGCGTTTCAATTTTTACGACGAGCAATTAAAAGCCACGTTTATATTTCGCGTTTTCCCTGCGCGTCGAACCGGTCGATAAAGGACGGGGTCGCCGGGGAACTAGAAAAACTCCGGTACTCACCGGAGAACGAGATGACGGTGTCCACGTTGACCGGTTGCACCGCCTCGCCGTCGGTCGCTACCACTGTGATGGAGTGACCTTCGATCGTGATCTGTGCCGGACAGACCGATCCGAAGGAATTGATCATTCGGAAACGATAACGACGACCTGGAGTTATGGTGAAGACCTCCAGCGGTGTGTTCGTCATGAAACCGGTGTTGGGATCCTACGGTATCGGAAACATGATCTTGAATCGTTTTATTGTTCATCGGTGGCGGCATCGTAGGGATTCAGAAGAAAGATTCTCGAGTGGAGAAATTGAAACTGGAGAGACGGGCGATAATTATTGTAACTCGAACCGCGATCACTGAGCTACGATTCTGAATAGACACAATGTGTATCGGAGGTGTAGAAAGCTAAGCCAGCAGTGAAGTAAGTAGAAATTGCTTGTACGGTTTGAATTACCATACCCTGAATTGTCCTTTTCCGTTGATCAAGACGCTTTCAGGTGCCTGACCGGTGTTAACAGCGAGACGACCAGGGAAACGTTCGGCCGCAGTCTCGTGGAACCAATCGCTGAGCAGAATAACGTGAGTAGTCAGATCGTAGTCGTACAGGTGACTGTTAGCGTCCTTGCTCGGTGGTTGACGTATAACGATGCTTCCATAAAGACCGTCTATTTTCTGCAAGCCAGTATGGGCGTGCCAGAAATGCGTACCCTCGTTGCCAGCCATCCATTGATACCTGTGAATGCGTGTACAATGAACAACAATGAACTGTAATCAGCTCGAAGGCATACATTTCCGTCTGATTGAGGAATATCGGATTTCGGAATTAATTTATTCTAACTGGGGAATATGTAAACACGGTAAAATACGGTTTAGGTGAAAATTTATTACCTAAACCACAGTTCGGCAGAATTTTCTTTGAATAATACGTAGTAAGAAACAGTAGTATCTAAGGGGGCCATTTTAATCTTTGAACAGTTAATGAGATTAAATAATTGTTTGGCAAGTGTCTACTCATTCCAGTAGAAGTATTATTTTATTTCTAATATTGGAATTTTCACTCTTAATTAATTAAAAATAATGAAATAACTGTTCTATCTTTTATTATCGTTACTCGAAACTTTTCGTTCGGATAATGAATTTACCCATCTCGTGATCCTAACAATGACATAAACTGAGAAAAATTGAAATAGAAGTAATTAGTTAAATTGGCAACTGCAGTGATAGAAATAATTACATGAAATAATTATCTAAGCTAAGATATTTGAGGGCAAGAATAATTACCTAAAGGTGTTACCCTCTTGAATGGGACATTGCGTCACAAATGGTACACCGTCGTAATATTGAGTTCCCCTCTGCCACACTCCGTGCCAGTGAATGGTAATTTCCATTCCTTCGATGTGATTCTCTACGTCGACCACGACCTTGTCGCCCTGGCAAACTTGGATGCTTGGACCAGGTACCATTCTGTTCGCCGACAGAATGCTTCTCTCGACACCGTCTGCCAGAACGCACTGACAATCGCTCCAGACTACATTGGTTGCATTGGGCGTGCAGGTCTGACACGCACTGTCGATCAAAGCAAGACATCAGTAAGAATTAGTGCAATTCAAGCCATCGGAGAACACAAAGCTTTCGGAATTTCGGAAAATTCTGTGAAAACTTTCAAGCTTATTCTGCTATGGTTTGTTAATGATTTCAAAAATATAAATTTAAGTTCTCGAAACAAAAATGTGCAACTTGAATATATGCTATCGGAGTGAATCATTTGTTTTCTATTTTAAATCATTCAATTTTACCAGCTTATTACTTATATCATATATGTACTTCTCAGTGAACAGCGTTTTCTACGCTTCATTGTTCACGACAATGATAGTTCCTAAGCAATACAATTCCAAGAATTTATACATATGTATTGTTACGACGCCTTGATAAGACTCCCTGTATTCCAGTGAAACGAACCTTATGATCCATCTATCTGAGGATGATTCAATAAAAAGGGTTGCCAAGAGGAATTTGTTTTAACAAATTGGTGAGAGAATCTCCGATCGATAATCTTGGAGAGCAGACATGTCGTTGTACAAAGTACTGTTAACGAATAGCTTGTGTGTTTAGTTACAATTCTGAATTAGTAAATAAAATGTCGTGTAGCGAGACACGTTGTCGTAACATAAGAACTAGTTTCTCACTCCAATGTTTCTATGAATTTATTGTTAACACATTGCTCATTGTATCACAAATACGTGGATAACATCAGCAATGCAATTACGATCCACAATATTATAAAAGAAGTTAACACCATGACAAGTCTAAGTAATTACATGCTCTGCTTCGTTAACAAAAACGGATTGCACAAACATCGGTGAAACAGTCACCGTGTCAAAAGTCACGATTTCAATTCTCGAGCGAAACTTACGAAAATCCCGTTCATATTTGAAGGGAAACTCAGAAATTCGTCGATCGATAAAGAAGAGGATGGTCGAAAGGTGAGCCCACCGTGTCAAACGGGGATTAGAAAGTGGAGGGTGACACTTACGCTCCCAGCACGGTATAATATTCGAGGGTGAAGTGGTAGTAGCATATCCTAGGTGGCTCATTTTCGCGGCATGCTCTGGCACATTCATCCGGCGAAGAAAGCGCGGGATTACGACGTAATTCAGCGGTGGCTCGTTCGCTGTAGTCGAGGGGTCTCGTTCGAGGCGGTCTGACAGTCACCCCTCGGCTGCCTAAGTTGTCAATCCCACCGAAACCGCTACGGAACACGCCGGCTGACGGATGTGTTTGCACAAGGCCGTGGCTGGACGGGAAGAAGTTCGAGGTGTCGTCCGTGAAGATGTTGCCTGTCTTGATGGTGGGCGTCCAGAAGGAAGAGGCTGGTGTCTGATCGATGGCTGCGTCTGTAACGAGAGGAATATGCTCGTTGATCGATTGTGGATATGTCTATGGTATCGTGATTGACCTCCAACTGGTGACGTCACTTTTGAAAAAGAATAAGTGCGCTTTTTTCGGAGAACTCGGTTGGGTACTCAATCTGTGCGTCGACTGCCACAGTGAAAAAGGCTGTACGTAGCCTGACACATTTTATTTCGTTTTTTAAGTCATAAATCGTCGAACTGAATTTAGTGAATAAAGGCTTATCGTCTTGTTTTAAATTATACTACAATATTAGTTTCATGCAAAAATTTTGTAACAGTATTTAAATAATCCAGCCTCTTTTCAATGTTTGAACTACGAGTTATCAGTTACAGTCAACGTGTTAATATTGGTTCAACTAGAGGTAACAGACTATACGTACAAATTATCGTAAAAAACACCAGGACGCTCACAATTCGATTGGTTATAATAAACCACAGATTTCACATTTATTCCATCAATTTAACAAGTTTGTTTTCACAGAAAATTGTCGAATCAAGAACTGAACGAAATAGGAACCCCAGTACTTTGCGAAAAACCGATTGTACTAAATCAACACGTTCCACGGCTCGCAACGCGTCGTTTGAGCCATGAATAAGAAAGATGTTTATATTTCTTCCTCACGGTTACAATACGGCGAGCGCAAGAAACACTACTTGTGTAGAAATTACTAGAAAATATACTGTGGCCAATTCAGATAATTAAATATACACGGAAGATATACTGCGCTATTTATCGATAGGTAAATGCACATGGTATTGGCTTCACGGGCAGAACCAGATCGAACCATTACGCTCTGTCACACAGAGACCGCAAGATTGATCGTCTTGACACTAACATAACGATGTGTTGAAAGTGATTATTCGAAGAAAGTAGCCACGCGCAGAAACCGCGCCTGTGGAAGTTTTTCGCCAGTTTCTCATGCCACCTAATTCGTATTTACTTCTCGATTTATAAGGAAAAATGGCCGTCTATTAAAAGCCGAGAGACCGAGCGGCGCGGAAAGCGCATTCATGGAACCTAAAAAACGTTCACTCGGACTTCGTGTATCTACGCTGTGCTCGTTTGTGCCACGAAAGTATGCGAAAGAATGTAATTCGACTGGCGGCGGAGAAATTGTATCTAAAGACGTATCCATGGATCAAGGTGGAATGATATCCTAGAAAAATACTATATGCGTGTCAGAAGACAAGGAACACTATTGTGTAACAATCGGACGCAAAGGCTGGTCGCGAAACAACGAATGAAAGGAGTTGTCGTGTTCGAAATTGAGCATCCACACTCTGTGATTATCTTGTGGGATAATTATTGCTGCCGTAACAGTGACGATTAACTCGTTAACTATCACGGCACCCGAAGTAGCGACCATAAACGGGCATGGTAATGGAATTAACGCGCGAACAACGTGATTTGATGGTCACACCGGCCACACGGTGTGTATTTCCTCGTACAGTATTTTCCCCTTAATTATCGGGACGCTCGAGTGACTTCGACCAGCGATTATCAACTACGCATCGATGCTTCGAACAACGCGCGTTCCCTGCTAGTAAAGCCAATTACGGAACGCCGATGTATCGCAATATATACTTTATTCCATTGTTACTCCGTTTCAATTTCGATCCAATGACATACAGGGTGTCTAATCAAAAGGGTCTAAGATTTTAGGTGCTTATATTATTCGCAAAGTGGAGTAACAAATGTCTAATCAGCATAGTCCCTAACATCAATATTTTTGATGAAAAATACAGAAGTTAATTTTCATATTTTTCCCGTATTCTCCCGCTCATAATTATTGGGAAAATTGTGTGGTATGCGATAAATCTAACATGACAGTACAAAATATTGTTGGGTGAATATTAAAGCTCGATGAACAGAGCATAGCTACTATAAAACAATAAAAGCGGTCTAAAATATATAATTTATACGAAACATTATAATTTATTGATACAGATCACGTGTCTAAATGATTTACTGTATTCCTTTCGTGTCTCTTGTTATACGACATGCATTCCAAGACCACCACATTATTTATCGGTGATGATTCGACCAAAGTCTTTGTTGATTTCAATAACGCTAAAAATATTGCCACTGATAATACTCTGGTGTTGTCATAAAACCCTGAACTAATGTACTTTTAAGTAAATTCCTCTGTTTACATTCAATATGTTGCGAAGTGACTCACGTACGACACCGAACGCTCCTAAATATAAAAGTTGATTTTCCATCGAAAGGATTTCTTCAGGACCAATATTGCTTAAGTATTTTTTACTCCACTCAGTGAGTATTATAAGTCCTTAAAGTCACAGACCCTTTTTCTCTAAACACTCTGTAAATTTCCATGTTTATAGGCTTGTATAATGACTTTGTGACCTGCTCGTGGCGGTGAAATTTTGTAGAATATTCATCGTGACCGATGGTTTTCGTTCGACGGAGAAGGAATTTACGTTTTAGTTCGACGGTGTTTTCGGTGTCCTTTTACGGGTCACAGGAATTAGAAGGGGACCTGGACGCAACGTGGCAGGACGTGAAACTTCCACGAACACGGACGGTGACATCGTAAATCGTATTCCGTTAGTTGAAACCCTTGCGAAAGCCAGGTCACTGCTCTGTCTGGCATAGAAATTATTTCCCTTCCTCGCCCGTGTAAATAAATCGGGCAACGAGTGGCGATCGATTTTCTACGCGTGAATTGCCTGCGCGAATTCGCGCGCGACGCTTTGCCAAACAGTTTTTGTCAATGCGAAAAAAATCGTCCGTCGGGGTCAGGGAAAAAAAATCAGCCGCGTTGGTATTTCGGATTGCGTAGCAGTTCTGGATCAGAAACACGCGGCCTGCAACTTCTGAGGCGAGCACTAAACGAGCATGTTGATCTATGGGCAACGTTCCCTCGATGAAAATCAGAACCTTCGCGCGCGCCTGTCTCGCCATATTCGTCGACCGTGACGACTGCTTTTCAATATCAACGCTGGAAACTAGTAAATCCTTCACAGTTGATGTTAGAATCGAGACATTCGATGCATATTATTTGTTTAACTCTTTCGTGCTCACTGTTGCCATATGGATACGTATTCTAAATTTTGATATAATATATTGGTGTCATGAATTTTTTCATAACTATGAGTATATTAGATTCTTCTAGTCTTGTATAAATGATATTTGCACATATTTGAATGTGCATTTAAAAGTTTATCGGTCAAATAAAACATTATTGGTATTTTGTCTCATCATGAAATTCAAGTGTTGAGCATTACAAACAAATTTTATTTTACGCTTTTAATTTATTTTGGCATAAAGCATAGGGTATCACCTCCTGCTTGCTTGTAACAACCTCCCGGCTGTACCCTGTACATTTATTAGTAAACTCTCTATAGATTAATTAATTGATCTAAAATTCTACCTAAGATTTGTTTCCTGTACTAAAAGTTACGTTGGGTCCAACGTAAAGTAAAACTGTATTAATCTTTACGAAATTTTGTACTGCATTATGCTTAGCACATTCACATTTGCAATAAACATATTATATCGGACATATACATATTAACTGGCTGCTGATGTTTATGTATTTATAGCATTCCTTAACTTTTATTCCTTAAATACAATAAACGAATTTTTTATTAAAGTTCTATACTATTTACGTGTTATTGTGAATGTAGTGAAGCCTCTAGTACAGAATTCAAGATTCTGTACAATTTTAATTATTAAATATTCGTATCTAAAATTGTGAATTTACATTAACTTCCACACTCTACTTGTTAATATTATAAAGTAGAAATTTTTAGAATAGTCTGCATGATAATTAGATTATACGTAGAAATTGGTAGTCGTGTCAGATATGCATCAACAAGAATGATTCATTTCTCACGGATCACTCGGTATATTCTGTACCAGTTTCATTACATTTTCAATTGTACTGATTTTTCTCTTTCATCTCGATATATGAGTCCGACGCGATGAAGGAACGAGCCGACGCGACGCAGGGATTGCTTTTCAATATATAACTAACCTGTACAACTATGGACACTACATGTAAAGGGTTATAGTATTGTAATTCACCATTCTATCCGATCGCACGCCAGGCGGTCGGCCTCGTCTGCGACTGGCATAGGCGTGCATTATTTACGACCCTGCACCGAACGTACATCGCCCTGGAAAAATTCTTCTCGGATGAATTATGCCGCTCGCTTGGTATGCGACTTTTTTTTGCCAGACAGCCGTACTTAGAGAGCTTTCGAAACACAAACACGACTGAAGAGCTTTCGTACATTCGTAGCTTACACAGCGCCCTTGTAAATGTGTAATAGATGCTTCAGAACTATTCAATTGGAAATTTCATAGGCCTATTAATGTTTAAAATACTACATGTTGAATAAAAAATTATGATTCAATTTGAATTATTCAAAAGCTACACTTGTAAATTTTTTAATGCAACAAAACATTCACTCATTCCAGAGATGTGTTATTGTTATTGTAAACGATTTGTGGGAAGGTATTTCACATTAACTTGATTTATAATTTCACAATATTAATGATTTAACACGATTATATTTAGGGTGTCTCGGGTCAGATATCACAACTGGGCAGGAAGTGATTCTCTAGGAACAAGTGAGCGGCAAAAAGAATAAATTTTGTTCGGGTAATGGTTCGTTTTCGAGATAATCGAATTTGAAGTTGGATAGACGGGCAGTAGAATAGAACTTGGATAACGCGTCTGTTGATTGCAGGACGTTTCTACTTATTGCCGGCACGATACACGCGTTTCAGATGTATGTTCAAATCAAATTTTCTCGTAAACAAAATCTCAAACAGAAAGAATTTATTCTTCCTTTCGAAACTTATTTTTTCTTATTGTGTATGTAAAACTCCCGTATATATAAAAAATTATATTTTCAATATCTCTACTGGAAATACAATGAAATTCATAAGAAACTCTAACAGAACATTGCAATACCTGTGTACGACTTTAACATTTTACTTTCCAATACTA